CTCCTTACCCCCAGTGACTTCCTCCTGCACTTGATTGATCTTTTCATCTACTCAGCGTCCAAACCAGCTAACAAAATCTTTCTTTCATATCCTCATCTGTGTTCCCTATATGTGTGTGTGCTCAGTTGCTGAGTCATGTCTTGACTCTTTTGCAACCCCATGGACTGTAGTCCACCAGGCTCCGCTGTCCATGGAATTTCCCAAGCGAGAATATTGGAGTGGTTGCCATTTCCTCCTCCAGGCGATCTTCCCAACTCAGGGATTGAACCTGTGCCTCTTGTGCCTCCTGCATTGGCAGGGGGTTTCTTTACCACTGAGCCATTGGGGAAGCCGCTATTGTTGATTAGCTCACATTTAAAAAATTGCCCTGTCAGGATGATTTATTCTGATGTCAAACTCCAATTACTCTATGTAAAGTTGTATATATTTATTATAATGTATATTTCACACACATGATCTTAAATTCATGCCAAGTACCTTTGGAACTTTTTGGGAATGTCACTTGATTCACTTTTTAATTGTGAAAATACCCTTCTTTACACAGAACCCCTTTTAATATTGGGGGAAAGGGAGCCAGGTAGAGTAGGAAGAAAATAGTGGAAACCATATTGCTTGTTAATCTCCTAGGACTGTCCTCCCAATTTGCTACTTTCTTAGACAAAGCAATGCTGTGAAAGGGATGGAAAATGTTCTTGGCAAGTTAGTCTATACAATGGGGCTCCTCTTGTGTGTTTCAGATGCAAGTTCCTCTCACTGATCAACTTTGAAGTCAGTTAAGCAGGCATTCTTTGGATCTGTTAACAAGAATACCTATTCCTGTTATAGCCTGATGGGAGAGCACATTTCATCTCCTACTTACCTCGTGTTTTCCTTTCGTCTTTTACTTTCTTTGTGTATTCCTTTACAAAGCAAGCCTTTCCTACGAACTTTGTAAAAAATAATCATAGTTTAGTTTTTGTTAAAAAAATATTTATTTGGTTATGTCGTGTCTTAGTTGTGGAAGGCAGGATCTTTAGTTGCAGCATTGCAAACTCTTAGTTGTGGCATGTGGGATCTAGGTCCCTGACCAGGGATCGAACCCAGGCCCCCGGCCTTAGGAGTATGGAGTCTTAGCCAGTGGACCCCAAGGGAAGTCCCAATCATGGTTCAATTTTATTAATGATCTGCTTCTCTGAGTAGTTTTTAATCTTTGTAGAGCTGATAAAACCAATTTTCTTAGATTTGTTGTGAAGAATTCAACAAAAAAGATAAAATGGGCAATGAATGGGTCAGTCTATGAGTGGTTATCAAGTGGAGTCAGCCGCATAGAGAGAGAAGTTATTTCTGTGACTTGATCTGGCCAGATGACCTTTAACCCAGTGTGCATGAAGCAAAGGAAGGTGGGAAAAGTCTACCTAAAAAATGTGAGTGTAGGGGGAAGAAAAGAAAAAAATAACAAAAAAAGAAAAAAGAAAAAAAAATGTGAGCACAGAACTCTGACTGCTCGCTTACTGTGCTATTACAGGGTTCTTTCTTAAACCTGTACCTGCTCTTTTAAGAAATTGAGGAGTGTTGTGTACACTGTAAATGTTAACGTGGTGTTCTCAGTGGTGATTTTCTCTTTCCCTCATTTCTTTCCATTTATTAATTGGAATTCCTCATTAAGGAAGATTTGGTCATTCTCTCTGATGTATTTACTTACTTTGTCTGTTATTTATATCCTTAGGGACTTAAAGATAAGACTTTAATTCTTTGGGTTATAATCCAATAAAATTGCTATTTATTTTGTTACTTGGATTGCTCCAGCTTTGGCCTTTGGGAGCTCTTTCAGTGCCCTTTTGACTTGCCCCATCATTTTTATTGACCACTTCCTATTTTCTGGCACCATGAGGTTTTTACATCTCTCCATAAAGCTCATCAGAAGCACAGGATAATGACTGTCTTTTGTAAAGCACTCTGCATGTAAGTTATATTTAATGTAAAGATGATATTAAAGGTTATCAAAGCAAAGTATCATTCATCACATGCAAATTACAGATGTCAAGTCCAAGAGTGTGAGCAGGACAGGCTGTGAGCACTTCATAGGCAGAGGCTCAATGCCTTCTACTGCACCCAAAATGTTATCACCACCAAGCGACACAATGGGGCCTTTTCAGTCTATGTGTGACAGTTCAGCTACTCTCCATTCCCCCAAAATGCATCATCTATCCTGGTAGAAATGGGAGTTCGGTGGGACAGAGATGTGGTATTAAATCTGATTGTTATTTCTCTAGTCATCTTCATGGGATGAACTGACATAATTTGAAATAGTGCACTAACTATTCTGTTAAAAAATACTCTTGTAAGAGGGAGGCAGGATGAGGAATTACATATCTACTCTTGTCAGCAGCTGGATTCAAATCTTGATTTTAACTTCCCTTATGCTAGTCAGCAAAAGTTTCTCAAAGGAGAAATAAAAGGACAATAGAGACAGTTCAGAAGAACCAAACAATAGGTATGTGTGTGTGTGGGGGGGGTGGTATGAAAGGGAAAGAATGTCCATCTTTGTAATTTAGAGCAATTCAAAATGGAAAAGTCTAGAGTGTTATGGATAGAATTGATACAACTTGATAGAACTGATAGAATTGATACTTGATAGAGTTGATACAACTTAGTTTACTTAAGGCTTAAAAAAATTAGAGCACAGCTCAGGAATTTTCAAAAACCTTGTCTTGCTATCAGTTTTCCTTCTGTGATAAAATAACAAATTTGTTCATGCATGAAACATACGCAGATCAAGGAGTAAGGACACAGGACTCTGGTTCAAGAAGGCAAACATGTCTTGAAATAGACCAAACCAAAACAAGCCACAAAAGTTCAGGTCATCTGTCTTTGCCTGTGTGAACCTGGGAGAAGTAAAGACTGTCTTCTCTAAGTAGGACAGAAGTGAATAAAATTAAACAGGACATAAGACACACTGCTGATTTTTTACAGCCCTACAGAGTTCAGCCACTAGTTTGCTGTTTAAGGGTGGGTTTCAAGAAAATTCCCAGTAAGTGAGTTTTAGCCAGGCTTTATGAGTTTCAGTGTTTTGTTAACTCTAAGATCATATCAAAAGGTCTCATCGCCCTGATATGCCAAGGCATGCAATAAGTGAGATGCCATGGTGCCTGGAGCAGGTCTAATTGAATATTCATTTGTGCCTTCAACACTTCAGATTCTTAATTTCCATGTTCTTTAATCTCTTCCATAGGAGTCTGTCACTGATGTCACTACCATCTCAGCAGCTGTGTTGGATGGGTCTTCTTGATTAGTCTCTTGTCTAGATTGCTCTGATACACAGAGAAAGTATTAGAAAGATGAAGCTACTGATCTCTTGTTGGTAAGATCCTGACTTTGAAGGGTTTTTTGGCTTGTTTTAAGCTAATGAAACAGTTATAAGTGCATCTTTCTGTAGAAATCCCAGGATGTAACCAATTTATAAGAGTTGCCCCAACATTATAGGTGAGGCATGAAGACAGCCCTATATGTGGTAAGGGGTCTGTTTTTGTCACTTGTGGATCCACTAACCCTCGGTCTCCTCCATTTATCAGTGGTCAATTATTTAGTTTCTTTGAATTTAATTTCTTTATTGTCTTTATTTTCTCTCTTCCTGAATGTCTCCCATCTATTTCACTATCTCTTCCTACCACCAGATGGTGGAAAGGGAAAAGGAAATAACAAGTCGGTAAATGAATGTGGTGGATGTCAGAGTATGGTGAAAGGTGTGGTAGTGAAAGGACTCCAAAAGGTGTTTGTGAGTTACCTGTGAACTAACATAAATTCGCTGTTTTCATTTTAGTGCCCACTGCCCTGATTTGGGGATCAGATCAGTATGGTACAAATGTTGCCTGTTGGTGGGGAATTGGCTCAGTGGATTCCTGGGAACATGAGAGCCTGGGAACATTGCTGAGCAGTGAATCCCACCTGGCTCAGGCAGGCGGCTGCTGGGTTAGCAGTCCCTATGAGGGTCGGTGTGTAGCGATGCAGCCCACTGGCTTCACTTCTCTTTCTGCATCTTCATCCCACCACCTCCTACAAGCCGAACTCGCGCCTGGCCTGCCGTTCCCACGCTGCACTGAAGGGAAACTGCGTTTCTCTCCCTCCGTAGGATAAACCCCTTCTCCTTCCCAACAGCCCCCTCTGTGAAGCCTTCTGGGTTGCCGCGACACCCCGGGGATTACCTGTCATCACCCTCAGCAGGTGTTCAGCCCCTCACCTGCCCACGGTCTTCCCTCCCCCAACCTGTCCTCCACCTCACGTCGCACCTTTGGGATCGGCTTTTTCCATCTCCTTTCCACGTGCCCCTCCACCTGGACGCCCCCTCCCCTCAGACTCTTCCTCCCCTCCTCTGGTCTCGAGGAGTCTCGCGGCATTTCCCGGGGCGTTAGCGGAGCCGCCAAGGGTGGGGGGTAGCCTCGCGGAGCTGGGTCCCTCCCCAGCAGGCGGTGAGGGGGGCGCCGGAGCGCAGCAGTCGCAGAGACGCCCGGGGCGCCAGCCCGGTGCCTCGAAGGCTCCGCCCCACTGGCCCCGCCCCTCCAGCCCCGCCCACGCCCTGGCGGCCGCGCGTCCCCGGCAGGCGGAGCCGCAGGAGCGGCGGCGGCGGCGGCGGTGAGGAGGAGGGGAGAGCGGGCTGCGCGGCCGCGACTGCTGGGCGCTGGGCTGGGTGGCGCTTTTTTTTTTTTTTTTCGCAATTTCCACTAGCGGGGAGCAGGAAACCCGGAGCAGCCGGGCGCAGCGGGTCGCGATGCAGCAGCAGCAGGAGTCGCCCCGGGGCAGCAGCAGCAGCAGCAGCAGCAGCAGCAGCAGCAGCAGAGGCAGCAGCGGGCGGCTTTGAGCCGCCGCGGCCGCCGCTACTGAGGAAAAAGCCGACCCAGCCGCCCGACCCCCGCGCCCACATACCGGCGCCCCGAATCCCGCGCCCAGGTCCCGGCGCCTTGACCCCCGCGTCCGCCTCCGCTAACTTTCACGCTGCCTCGGCGGCCCGGCCCGGCTCGACGCCAATGGGTGAGTGGGGGGCGACCGGGTGCTCACCGCAGCCTGGGGCGGCGCGCCTGTCCCGGGACCGCGGAGCTGAGGAGGGCGCCCCAGGGCCGGGGCCCCGGCGGGTGACACCGCGGTGGGCACCCTGCCTGCCTCGCGCACTCGTGTTCACTCCCACTCGCGCCCGCGTCCCTGCCGAGCCCGCCCGACGCCCACTGGAACCCCGCGGGGGCCTGGGTGGAGGAGCGCGGGGGCCGGCCCGGGGCGGCTGGCGCGGAGGGATGCAGGGGGTGTGGTTGGCTTTTCGGGTGGGCGGGGAGAGTTTTGTCTTGGCCATTTTCTCGCCCCCAGCGCGCCTTCGTTGCGCTGAGGGCGGGGGTACCGGGAGCTGGTGGGCTCCGGCCCTGCGCGGGGCTTGCGGTTCCCGCCTGGCCCCGCTGCCTTTGCCGGGGGCTGACGTGGTGGTGGGGGGTGGCGGGAAACGCCCCAGTACCCAGGATGGCGTGCAGTCTTAGGGTCTGAAGCGCCTTGACCCGCCTCCCTTGACGTCCCTCTTCCTCCCAGCCCTGAACCCCTCTCTGCCAGTCTGCCTCCCTCCAGTCTGGCAAGCTCTCTGCTCGGTGATGCTCAAAGGCCACTTCCCACACCCTCTAAGTCTGCAGGGTTGGGGAACTGGAAAGGGTGATTTAGTCCTTGATTTACTGGTCCAAGATCAGTTCTAAGTAGCCAACAAACTGTTAGGTCCCCTGGGTCCCATCTGGATAGATCCCAGAGTATTGGAGCCACGTTGCCCAGACGAAATGGCACTTTACTGGGCAATGGACTTGAGATTGCCGGGGTTATTAAACGTTTGGCCCACCCAGGTAATATTCTTGCTGGTAGGCAGTCTGTTTTTCATGCCTCTGGCAGATTACTTTGAGGTGTTTCTAGGCCAAGTATAGGAAGACTGTAGATTTTAATAAATCATAATGAAGTGAGACCTTTCTGGGTTCAGGTCATAGTATTTAGGTAGGTGAGTCAGACAGTGAATGGCCAGTAGTTACTGGTGAAGACAGATGCACTGGGAAAGGAGAGGTTTAACCCCGGCAGTTGCTGACAGAATTCAAATCCCATTTGTGGTCATTTTCCAGAAATGGTTTTCCTTTTCCAAAGTGATGACGATCTGATGGCTTCTCAACTTCAGTGACACTTTTTTCTCAGTGCCCTTCTCTGATCCCTGCACCACTCCTAGTTTAATTTAGTTCCTTTCTGTTACCCTTTCTCCTATATCACTTTAAAAAATGGCACTATTACGTATTTGAGTTTAACATTCTGTCCCCTACTGTAAGCTCCATGAACATGGGGACGTTGTTGTGTTGTGCTGTTTTGTTCAGCACTGTTTTCTTTGGTGCCTGGCACAGGGGAGTCCCTAAATAAATATTTACTGAATGAATGAATGAATGAATGAGGGGGTAGTGGAAGGCAAAACACTTAGTTTGACACTCTTGTTTTGCTTTGGCACCTAATAAGATGATTTGTTCATTAACAAAGTATATACTTGAAACATCACCCATTACTTTCACAACAGGTTGGTTTCTCCTGAGGTAACCCAAAATGCTTTTTTGATCATCTGTCCTTTTGGGTGTGTCGCCTAAAGGATTGCACACACACAGAAAAAAAATGTTTGATCCAAGCGTCTTCTTTCATGGCTGGACTGTTTTCTTTATCTCAGTGAGAAGAGGACTGAGTTCTTTTTAAGAAACAGACATGTAATTTATCATTCAAGTCTGAACTATTTTCATTATCCAGAACCTCCTAAGAAAATTAGAAAGTGCTTCTGCAGTTTATAGCCCTTTAAAGCTTAATCTTTTTTACTGTAATCATTACAAAAGGGAAAGGGGGTGCTGAAAGTGATTTTCATTTATTTCAGGTGTTAACACTTAGCAGTGCTAAGAGTAAAATGGACGCTGTCATTTAATTCATTAAAATGTTTAGAGTGAGATTTGAGATGCTGAAAGTACTTTGGGGGTAAAAATCACATGCTGTTTTCTAAAGCTTTTTCAGCAGTGTATTTGTGATGAAGCAAAGGTATTTAACAATTGATGCTGTATGTCTACTGACGGAGCCACCTAACAATGTTATTTCTGAAGCAGATGTGTGTACACATAGGCACACCCCCCTTTCCAGTCCCCCGTATTGCTTTGATTTTGAGAAGATTTGTCCAGTTTATTAATTTGATACACTTCCATTCTTATCAAGTCTGAAAATGATTTTTCCCATGATGGATAACACAATAAAGCTGTATTACATAGTCTTTGATCTGAAAAACAACTGCAAAGCATCAAATCTCAAACCCTGAATTGAAGCCAGTTAGTTGTGAAATGGCCTCTTAAAAAGTGCACTCAGAATGTGCCATCTGAGTTTGCAGGAAGATGCCGTCAGTAAATGCAGGGAAAGGCTCTTGTAATTACAACTGCACAAATATTATGACCCAAATCTGTGAGTCGTGGAGGATCTGCAGGCCCAGTGAAGGATTTCTGTTTAAAGAATCCCAGAGTAACAACAAAGTGTGGACTGTTGTTAGCAGTGTATTGTATTAGTGTTGGTAGACTGCTTTATGCTAAATCAACTAAAGCTGAATTGAATATAATATGTTCAATAAACAGGCTCATACAGAGATGGAAGGCTCCACCTTTTATCTATAATGACCTTTACTTTATCCTCTTCTATCCTCACAGTACCTCCTTGTTGCACAGATCTTGCTCGTTTCTTCTCTGACAGCTCTAGTTCTTACTGTGTTATTGATATTCTCTGGTCACCATTTGTATTTGTAATTGTTTTAAAGCCAGTTGCACATAGTGGTCAGTATTCATCTATTTATCCATCTATCCCTCTGATATTTATTGACCTCCTGCTTTGTGCCCAGCATTGTGCTAGGAACAGACACACAGCACACGGACCTGCCAGCTTGGGTTTCTCATTCTAGTGGGAGAGGTAGGCTAGATTCCAATACTTACAACAATATGTAATTATAAGCCCTGGTAGGTCTTGTGAAAGGAGATTAGAGAGGTGGGATCTGACTTAGGTTGCGGAGGGGTAAGGACAGCATCTTTGAAGAGATTGAGTTGAAATCTGAAAGTTGGATAGGAACCATCGCTGTCCTCCTCCCTCTTGCCCCCCAGGACCACCTGCAGTGGAACAGCCCTGCACTGTGGGCACACCAGGGGTATCACAGTGAGAGAGGTTTCTTCTGGATTAGGTGCTGCTAGGAAGCAGGAGTGAGTCCTGATTGGGTGCCTTAGTAACCTTACTTAGAAGCTGGGAAAACCAGACTAAGGCTGGGATTGGTGAAGAAGCCAGAGTTGCTCTTAGAAGCCAGGACCCAGGGACATTGGGTGACTTTGGTGGTGTGGACAAGTTCCTGCTTCATCTGTGTTCTCACTTGATTACTGAGTGGTCTTGTCAACTACGTGATGAGTGGGGGCGAGGAGTAGGACTTGGTAGTGGGGAGATAAGAGCTATCTAGGTATATTTGGGGATGACTTCCTTAATATCAGCCCATCTGGGGTCTGTTGTTTAGCCTTCACAGAATGGACAACTCTCATATTCCACCTGGAATCGGTCTGGAGGGATAGAGCAAACTGCTGAAGACCAAGAAGCAGCACAGCTCTTAATGGGAGAGATGGAATGCAGAAAAATACTGTGAGAGAAGGAGGATCTCTCATACAATGGTACTCAGAATGTGGTCCGCTAGTCAGCAGCTTCAGCCTCCTGGGATCCTGTTAGAAATACCAGTTCTCTGGCCCTAATTTTATCCACTGAGTCAGGAACTTCTGAGGCGAGAGCATTATTGCATTAATGAGCCCTCCAGGGGTTTTGATGCATGGTTAAGGTCAAGTGTAGAACCTCATTGCCTTGCAGATGAGAAGGCTGAGGTCCAGAGTGCATGGGTTTGTGGGCACTCTGGTCATAAAATAAGATGCCATTATAAGTGACACAGGACCTCAGAGAAAGAGGATAATGTGCTCCTAGTCCGGAACAAACCTCTCCGGGAGTTATGACTCAGTATGGAGAAATGAAATCATTCCCTTGCTTTTTCCAGCTTGTAAAGACAGCCTGCATTCCTTGGCTTGTGGCTGCATCACTCTCACTCTGCTTCTGTCCTCACGTCTCCTCCTCTCTTTCTCTGACCCTCCTGCCTTCATTTTATAAGTACTGTTGTATTATACTGTGCCCACCCAGATAATTGCGGATACCCTCCCCATCTCAAGATCTTTAACTTAATCACATCTGCCAAGCCCCTTTGCCATGGAAGGTAGCATACTCACAGGTTCTGGGGATTAGGATGTGGACCTCTTTGGTGCAGTATTATTCAGCCTACCACCCCCTTATTCCTCTTTTGAGGCCTGCTCCAAAGGTTGTTTTACAACACTTTATCTTGTGTTAAGTCTGTTCATCTCTAGCTGGGTGTCCCCAACTGCATCACCCTGGCTCATTGCCTGGCATAGGGTAAGTGCCATATGTTAGTGAACGAATGAATAAATGAATAACCCTCTCACCCAAGTGCAGCTACTACTTGAAATTCTCTGAGGCTATTGGCTGCCAGGAGTATGTGTGCAGTTCTATAAAATCCCTCAGGCGCAGGGTGCTGACAAGGTCTGTTTGCTGACAGTCACCAGTGGCCTGCACAGCAGTGGGTGAAGGGTAATGCTGCATGTGTCACATGACTTCAACAAAGAGCTACAAGTTTAAGATAGCAAGTTCTCTCTGGCAGTGGTTCTCAACCTGGGGCAATTCTGTCCCCAACCCCTGGGGGGGACATTTGGCAGTGTCTGGGCGTGGCAGCTGGTGGGGGAGGCCAGCCTGCTGGCATCTGGTGGGCAGAGGCCAGAGATGCTGCTTTACCTCCTGCAGCGCACCACAGTCTCCTCCACACTTATTCGGCTCCAAGTGCTAGGGAAGCCGGTTCTGGGTGTTACACAGATAGTCAAACACTGTTTCCTTTCTTCATCCTAGCTGCTCTGGAACCTAAGATTTTCCTTTCT